GTTCTTTTGGCAGTCCACGATATATTCGCTATCCTTTGCCAACATCATAATTCAAAGGCAGTGTATGTTCTTCTGCTGTTCATTGTCCAACTCTCAGAGGCATAGGTAGTAATTGACGATATTATGACTTGGATAAGGTACACCTTGGACTTTAAATTTTTAGTCTTACTCCTGACCACTGTGGAGAGGTCCTTGACAGCAGATTTTTCCCATTGCATCATTTTTTTTAACTGCTACTACCATGGGTGTTGACTGTGGATCCAAGTAAAATTAAATCATTGGCAATTTCAATTTTTCTTCATCTGTCATGATGTTGCCTATTGGTCCAGTGGTGAAGACTTTTGTTTTCTTGATGTTGAGATGTAACCCATATTGAAGGTTGTAGTCTTTGATCCTCTGCACCAAACATTTCAAGTCTTTCTGTAAGCAAGGTTGTGTCATCTGCATAATGCAGGTCCTGATGCTCTACATTCTTCTTCAAGTTTCCCAGCTTCTCAAATGGTTTATTCAACATACAGATTGAACAGGTAGAGAGAAAAGATATAACTCTTATGCACATCTTTCCTGATTTTGAACCATGTACTGTTCCCTTGTTCTGTCTGGACAACTGCTTCTTCGTCTATGGATAATATCACAACAGCACAATTAATTGTTCTGAGATTCTCCTTTTCCTCAATGTCATTCATAATTTGCTGTGATGCACACAATCAAATGTATTTGCACAGTCCACAGACACAAATAAGCTTCTTTTTGGTATTTTCTGCCTTTAGCCAAAATCCACCTGACACTGTGTCTTCTTAATCCAGCTTGAATTTCTAGCAGTTCCCTGTTGATGTACTGTTCCAGCTGTTTAAAATAGCCTTCAGCAAGATTTTTACTTGCACGTGATATTAAAGATACTGCTCAAAATGTCCACATTCTGTTGGACCATCTTTTTGTAAAAAATTGAAACAAATATGGATCTCTTCCCGTCCATTGGCAGGAAGCTGCATGGACTGCTAGGAAAACAAACAGATTTGTCTTGGAAAGGGTTAAACTGGGTGGCTCCTTGGAGGCAAGGATTCTGAGGCTCCGTCTAACATACTTTGGACATGTTGTGAGGAGAGAC